ATGTAACACCAACAATTTACATTAGATATAAACAATTTAGGCCAAAACGCTAGTCATTGAAAGCTATCAACATGGTGGATTTTTTTTTTTTTAATGCAAAAAAAAATTGCTTTGGCCCCATCCCAACCTCAAATCCTAAACCAAACACCTTTCACCATGCAAATGTTCAAAACATACAAGACTGGCCTATGAACCACCTGACAAAACAATCCATTGAGCCTAAAGAAACAGTGTTTACAAGGGTCAGCTTGGATATAGCACTTGTCATGTCTAAGCTGCTGCTTGAAGCTATTCAATTTAAACAACCAGTAAAGAAAAAAGGGCATTAAAAAAAAAAGGTGATTTTTCTTCAAGACATTGAATATTGGAAGCCAACATGGATTCACTGGCCTGGGGTATCCCCTACAAAAATTGCTTGGACTTCTACTCAGTGCTGGATTTATAGGGGGTAAAAGGGTGACTGCCCTGGGCCCCCTGAGGGAAGGGGACCCCTTCTAAATAAAAATAATATTTAATGTTTTTAATTATATAAAAAAATAATAATAATAAAAATAAATACTAAAAAAATTTATAATATTAAAATATAAAAATATACCTGAAGTGCCCCAGACCCTCCAAGGTCTAAATCTGGCCCTTCTTTTACACTAAATAAAATAACTTATCATTATTTAAAAAAAAAAAAATAATAAATTTATATATATATTTGCAGCGATTTTTTTGGAAGCAAGTGGGTATCTTTTTTTGACAAGTTTCCTGCACCCACTTCCTCAATTTTGTCAAAAATGACACATGCATGGCCCACCCTCCCTCGTCGACATGACTAGTCTCACTGCACTACCGGGCCTCACTCGTGCAGTGAGACTGGTCATGTTGATGGTGGGGGGTGGACTATGCAGACGGCATTTATTGCCTAGGTGAGAATCGAGGAAGCTGGTTCTTGTGCAGTGGGGAGCCGGCAGTGAGATGCCAGGAAGTCGCAGCGGGCTCCTAAGTGCAAAATGGCGAGAGCCAAAGCCCTGGTGAAGAATCAGAATTATATATATATATAAAATATTACTACATTAAAAAAAAAAGGTCCTGCATGACCATTGCAATCTGCGTATATTTCTAAAACTCAATAAAACAGAATTTAAAAAAAAAAAAAAAAAAAACACAGAAAATGCAAAGTTAAAAGATATTTATATCTAGGTCTCTTACTATATGTGACAATATAGGATAAGACTTTTGTATGGGCAACGGTTGTGTTTTTAAAATTTTTTTTATTTATTATAATTGTATTTAATTTATTTTTATTATATAAAAATATAAATAGATTGTAATTTTTTTTATATTTTAAATATTGTATTTATTTTATTTATTTATCAGTGCATTTATCTGAGATTTGTTTATATACCATTGCTGTGTATTATCATGTAATATTTCTGAAACTCAATAAAACAGCATTTAAAAAAACAAAAAAACAGAAAATGCAAAGTTAAAAGATATTTATATCTAGGTCTCTTACTATATGTGACAATATAGGATAAGACTTTTGTATGGGCAACAGTTGTGTTCTTTTTATTTTTTTTATTTATTGTAATTGTATTTAATTTATTTTATTATAGAAAAATATAAATTGATTGAAATTTTTTTGTTATATTTTAAATATTGTATTTATTTTATTTATTTATCAGTACATTTATCTGAGATTTGTTTATATACCATTGCTGTGTATTATCATGTAATATTTCTGAAACTCAATAAAACAGCATTTAAAAAAAAAAAAAAACCAGAAAATGCAAAGTTAAAAGATATTTATATCTAGGTCTCTTACTATATGTGACAATATAGGATAAGACTTTTGTATGGGCAACGGTTGTGTTTTTTAAATTTTTTTTTTTATTTATTATAATTGTATTTAATTTATTTTTTATATAAAAATATAAATAGATTGTAATTTTTTTTATATTTTAAATATTGTATTTATTTTATTTATTTATCAGTGCATTTATCTGAGATTTGTTTATATACCATTGCTGTGTATTATCATGTAATATTTCTGAAACTCAATAAAACAGCATTTTTAAAAAAAAAAAAAACAGAAAATGCAAAGTTAAAAGATATTTATATCTAGGTCTCTTACTATATGTGACAATATAGTATAAGACTTTTATAGGGGGGTTTTGTATTTTGCTTTTTTTTTTTATTTATTACAGTTATATTTAATTTATTTTATTATATAAAAATATAAATAGATTGTAATTTTTTTTATATATTTTAAATATTGTATTTATTTTATTTATCAGTTCATTTATTTGAGATTTGTTGATATACCGTTGCTGTGTATTTAGGGTCTTTCCATTTAATGCATTGTTTCCTTTTTGCATCAAACTGCAAGAACGCCTGTAAGTCAGCATTTCGCTGCACCTGGCACTTGCACTTGGTGTATATGACATTAAACTTTGAACCATATACTATCACTGATTGTAACAAGTTCTGTCAAAGGATGCAATGGGAGCTCATACACTAAAGGAGTTGAGAGTTTTCACCCAATAAAGGATGTAAATATACACTTTAATTATCAAATCATGTGATAAATTCCTGATTTACTTGTTTCAGCTGCACATAATTAGGTATTAAAAATGAACAGGAATTTGTTGTTCATGTGATTGGATAATTAATGGGACTATTCGACATTTATATTGGTGGAGATTCTCAACTCCTGTAGCTGATCAGCCCCAATACATCAATATGTCATTTCTTATAATTATATTTTTATATTATTATTATTATTATTATAATAATAATAATAATAATAATAATAATAATAATAATAATAATATTTTATTATTATTGATTAGGGTCGCAGCATTCATCTCTGCTAGGCCCATGTCACATGTTCCCAGCTTCCTATTGTCTTCTGCAGCATATCCCCAGCCAACAATGTATCCGTTCCTCACTCTCTGACCCTCATTTCCTCTATTAGGTCTGCAGTCTCTGACCGTCCTCTCCAGCATTACATATATTGAACATTATGTGCGGCCCTATGGTGATGTCAGGGGCCACATTTGAGGCTCCCTTTAGCTCATAAGTTGACAACCACTGATATACATATACATTTTTTAATTTTTAATTCATCCATTTATTTATTTATTTTTCACTACTACAAATATGAACTTTGCATGCCCCCACCCCCACATATGAGAGATATGTTTTTGAAGACAGTGGTTTTTTTTTTTTTATGAGAGTTATTTTTTAAGACAGTGTTTTTTATAAAATTTGTTTTTTTATGATAGTTGTTTTTTTTACGAGTTTTTGCTAAGACAGCTGTTTTTTTATGACAGTTTGTTTTTTTTATGACAGTTTATTATTTTTTTTTATATCTTTTTTTTTACAGTTGTTCATTTATGACAGTTGTTTTTCTGAGTTATTTTTTAAGACAGTTTTTTTTTAAAAAAAAAAAATTTCTTTTGATAGTTGTTTTTTAAGAGTTTTTATTAAGACAGCTGTTTTTTTTATGACAGTGATATTTTTTTTCTTTCTTTTTTTACAGTTGTTCATTTATGACAGTTGTTTTTCTGAGTTATTTTTTAAGACAGACATTTCTTTTGATAGTTGTTTTTTTTAAGAGTTTTTTATTAAGACAGCTGTTTTTTTTTATGACAGTGATATTTTTTTTCTTTCTTTTTTACAGTTGTTCATTTATACAGTTTTTCTAAGTTTTTAAAGACAGTTTTTTTTTTTAACAAACTTTTTTTCTTATGATAGTTGTTTTTTTTAAGAGTTTTTGTTAAAACAGCTGCTTTTTTTTTTATGACAGTGATATTTTTCCCTTTCTTTTTTTTCACAGTTCATTTTTAACAGTTGTTTTTCTGAGTTATTTTTTAAGACAGTTTTTTTATAAAACTTTTTTTCTTATGATAGTTGTTTTTTTAAGAGATTTTGTTAAAACAGCTGTTTTTTTATGACAGTGATATTTTTTCCTTTCTTTTTTTTCACAGTTGTTCATTTATAACAGTTGTTTTTCTGAGTTATTTTTTAAGACAGTTTTTTTTTTTTTAATTTTTCTTATGATAGTTGTTTTTTAAGAATTTTTATTAAGACAGCTGTTTTTATTATGACAGTGATTTTTTTTCTTTCTTTTTTTACAGTTGTTCATTTATGACAGTTGTTTTTCTGAGTTATTTTTTAAGACAGTTTTTTTTATAAACAAAATTTTCTTATGATAGTTGGTTTTAGGAGTTTTTGTTAAGACAGCTGTTTTTTATGACAGTCGTTTTTTTATGACAGTGATTTTTTTTTCTTTCTTTTTTTTTACACTTGTTCATTTATGACAGTTGTTTTTCTGAGTTATTTTTTAAGAAAGAGATTTTTTTTTGTTTTTTTTTATGATAGTTGTTTCTTAAGAGTTTTTGTTAAGATAGCTGTTTTTTTGTGACAGTTTTGTTTTTTATTTATGACAGTGATTTTTTTTTTCTTTCTTTTTTTTCACAGTTGTTCATTTATGACAGTTGTTTTTCTGAGTTATTTTTTAAGACAGTTTTTTTTTTTTTTTATAAAAAAAAAATTCTTATGATAGTTGTTTTTAAGAGTTTTTGTTAAGATAGCTGTTTTTTATGACAGTTGTTTTTTTATTATTATTATTACATCGGGTTTATATAGCGCCAAAGGGTTTGCTAAGCGCTGTACAATAGAGGGGGGCACAATACATGAAACAGTACAGCAACAGTACAGCAACAACAAACAGCACACAAGGGGTTAGAGGGCCCTACTCTTTCGAGCTTACTTATGACATATATATATTTTTTTTTTCTTTCTTTTTTTTTTTTACACTTGTTTATTTATGACAGTTGTTTTTCTGAGTTATTTTTTAAGAAAGATTTTTTTGTATAAAATAATTTTTTTTTTATGATAGTTGTTTCTTAAGAGTTTTTGTTAAGATAGCTGTTTTTTGTGACAGTTGTTTTTTATTTATGACAGTGATTTTTTTTTTTTCTTTTTTTTAAACTTGTTCATTTATGACCAGGGGTGGACTGACCATTTGGAAACTCGGGCACTGCCCAAGGGCCCGGGGTCAGTAGGGAGCCCCATGAGATGGCCCTGGTACCTTTTTCATAGGCAATTTTTTTTGAGTTTGGGCAAGGACACAGGGGCCCCATGATCCCCTATTGCCCAGGGGCCCCATGAGTTGTCAGTCCGCCCCTGTTTATGACAGTTGTTTTTCTGAGTTATTTTTTAAGAAAGATTTTTTGTATAAAATTAGTTTTTTTATGATAGTTGTTTCTTAAGAGTTTTTGTTACGATAACTGTTTTTATGACAGTTGTTTTTTTATTTATGACAGTGATTTTTTCTTTCTTTCTTTTTTTCACAGTTGTTCATTTATGACAGTTGTTTTCCTGAGTTATTTTTTAAAGAAAGGTTTTTTTGTATAAAATTTGTTTTTTTATGATAGTTGTTTTTAAGAGTTTTTGTTACGATAACTGTTTTTTTATGACAGTTGTTTTTTATTTATGACAGTGATTTTTTTCTTTCTTTTTTTTTTTTTTTTTTACAGTTGTTCATTTATAACAGTTGTTTTTCTGAGTTATTTTTCGAAGACAGTTTTTTTTATGACAGTGGTTTTTATTATAACAGTTAATTTTTAAGACAGATTTTTTTTTTTTATGACAGTTGTTTTTATAATAACAGTTAATCTCTAAGACAGATTTATTTTGTATGGCAGTTGTTTTTTTTTTTTGACAGGCAACATTTTATTTCACCACAGCATGTTGCGCATTAGGTAGAAAAAGTTAAGTGTCTTAAAAAAAAAGATGAAAAAAGTAACCCCCCCCCCAACACATGTCAGCACATGACAATGCATATGTGGTATAAGATCCATCATAGACGGCTTGGATACAGCAGGAATCTACCACAATTTGAGTCATGGGTGTCCTTGCAAGCACCCCCCCGGCCCAACAAAAGTCAATTGAGCCGGGTGGAAAATTATCGGCCCAAAACTGATTGCATCCTAGCAGACACTGTCCGGGACTGCCATTGTATTGTGGCAGCTGTGGATGCCGTGGCCTCTTGAATACAATAGCCGTGGTGATTCCTCCTTCCCCGCTGGTTTTTGCGATTTGCGGATCCATTTGATTTTCTCTCCTTTAGCTGAATGAGTGAAAATCACAACATGTATGGCTGCCCTAAAGGCCGGCCCATACATTATACAATTTTCTCGTTCAATTTTCTTTAGATTTACCTTCAGCTGTGTAGTGCAAAGGCCTGCCGTGATTGCCTGCAAATTGAAAGTGTTTCAGTTTGACCTCATAATATATGGTGCTGGTAAATCTAAAGGAAAATTGGATAATGTATGGCCAGCTTTAGTCTGTATTTTGCATTCTAAACCACTGTCAGTTCGTTTTTTATGGCCACTATTGGACTTTATATATTTTATTATCGGTGACTCCCCTCCCCCCTCCCATTCCATAGCTAGCAATACTCTGCTCTACCTATTAGAGTGTAAGCTCTCAGGAGCAGGGCTCTTCTAACAACTTTGTATTGAGTTGTATTGTAACTGTCCTTTGCATTGCAAAGTGCAGCAAACTGTCAGCACTATATAAATCCAGCACAGCGGCTAAATTGGGCAGGGGTGGACTGACAACTCATGGGGCCCCCGGGCAGTAAGGGATCATGGGGCCCCTGTGTCCTCGCCCACACTCAAACCACACCCAAAAAAGCCTATGAAAGGTACCAGGGGCATCTCATGGGGCCCCCTACTGACCCCGGCCCTCGGGCAGTGCCCGAGTTTCCAAATGGTCAGTCCGCCCCCACACTGGGGTCTTTGGTTTGACTCCCACCGCAGCGCTACCTGCATGGAGTTTGCATGTCCTCCTTGTGCCTGGGTGGGTTTCAACCCACACTCCAAAGACATGCTGCTAGCTCCTGTCTAAAGTGGCTCTAGTATGTATGAATCTCACCTGGGTTGTTAACAAAAAAAAAAACAACAAAAAAACTCAATGGACCACTCTTTTTTTTTTTTTTTGCCACTGTCACTTTTCTATGTTTCTACATTTAGGGACCTTAGATTGTAAGTTCCTTGAGGGCAGGGACTAATAGGAACGTACAATATAGATGTGAAGTGCTGAGTACATTGACAGCGCTATATAAGTACCTGAAGTAAATTTAAATATATATAAATATATATATAGTTATTTTATGATTAGTTATTTATTTAATTAATTATTAAAATATCTTATATTAATATATTAATATATCGTTTTATATATATATATATATATATATATATATATATATATATATTTACATTTATTTCGTGTACTTATATAGCGCCGTCAATGTACTCAATGTACTGAGCACTATATATATATATTATATACAATATATATATATATATTTTTTTTTTTAATATGTCATAATATATGGATATATAATTTAATATATATATATATATATTTATGTATTTAAATTTATTTCAGGTGCTTATATAGTGCCGTCAACTCAGCACTATATATATATATATATATATATATATATATATATATATATAAATTTATAATTTTAAATATCTTATAATATATTAATATATCATTTCGTATATATATATTTAAATTTATTTCAGGTACTTATATAGTGCCGTCAAGGTACTCAGCATATATATATATATATATATATATATATATATATATATATATATAATTTTATTATTTTTTTAAAATATCTTATAATATATTAATATATCATTTCGTATATATATATTTAAATTTATTTCAGGTACTTATATAGTGCCGTCAAGGTACTCAGCACTATATATATATATATATATATATATAAAATTTATTATTTTTTTTAAATATCTTATAATATATTATATATATATTTCGTATATATATTTAAAAAATTATATATGCCGTCAATCTTATAATATATAAAAATAAATATTATATATATATATATATATATATAATAAAATTAAATATCTTAAATAATATAATATATAATTTATATATATATATATTATTATAAATATATAATATATATATATTATTTATATATATATATATATATATATAACATGCACACACATATTATATTAATATATAATATATATATTAATAAATAGATTAAAAATGATTATATATATATAAATTATAGAAGTACCTAAAAAAATAAATAAAATATAATAATAATACTCATTATTTGTTACTCTTTCACTTTTATTGTTCCCCTTTTCAGAGATTGTTATCCTTTTTGCATATATTTTTTAAATTAATTTTTTTTATTAAACCTCTGGGTATCAGTACTGCCTTACCTAGAAAAATGGGAAATATTCCCAAATATAAAAAAAAAAAATAAAATGCAAATTTTAAAAAAAATAACAATGGACTGTACTCAATTTTGTTGTTGCAAGTGTGCTAATAAATAATTGCAATAAGCAAAAAAAATTGTAATTTACCCGCATGCCGAGGGTCCTCATGTCTATGAATATTTAAAAAAAAAAGGTATGCTTTTAATCATTTAATCATTTACCTAAGCATGGTCCTAACCACAGCCAGGGAACCCTTTGATTGCTAACAGCAAAGTACTGAAGTATACAAAAAAATTGAAAAAAAATTCACTTTTGAATGCACCATACATGGTGTATTTTATAAAGTATTAAGAAGGCTAGGTATAATCTCTGTCCCTACCTGTCCTTGGGTGTAGGATAATATAAATTTTTTTTTTTAATAAAAAACTGGATGGATTTTGTCTTTTTTCATATAACTAATATATATGTCATATATAAGTAGCATTAAAACTCTGGATTAAAAATAAATGTACCATTCATAAGTAAATATATCTGGTACCCTTTAAAAGCTTAGAAATTCAACCTCAATTATGATCTGTCTTGTGAATTGACTAAGCAAATAAATTTTTAAATAGCTTCTAATAAAAAAATTTATTATATTTTTACAATGTGTTTATATTTTTTTTCTTCCTGTGATATTTATATCAATTATTCCTGCCTTCAATTCCATTTCAACATGTTTCAGTTCTTTTTCTAGAGGATAAGTCTGTATTTTAATTTTTTTTTTTAAAATTCCTCAAATCTTTTGTTATTTTTAATTTGGGGAAACCAGGTTTGTATTTTTATGGCTAATCTTAGCACCATACCCAACCATTATATGCATTAAAGAATAATAAAATTCTGAATTTTAATAATAAAATAAAAAAAAATAATATAATAATAATTAATTATTGTTTATTAAATAATAATAAATTTTTATTTAAATTTAAAACTTTAAAAAATATGTATTAAAAATATATCATTTTATATATTTATTTAATAAAATAACAATAATATTTTTTATGTGTATATAATTAATAGATAATAATAAATAATAATAATAGATAATAATTTATAATATATAATATTAAAATAATAATAAATTTTATAGATTTATATAATTTATAATAGATAGATAAAATATAATTTAATAGATAAGAAAAAAAATAATAATAAATATAATATTTTATAATAATAATAAAATAATATATTTAGATAATATATTTATAATAGATAGATAGATAATAATATATAATAAATAATATAATAATAATATAATAATAGATATAATAATAGATAGATAGATAGATAAATAGATAATGGATAAGAATGGATAAAGAGATAATATAAATAGATAATAATATTTTAATAAATATATATATAAATAGATAAATTATAAATATATAGATTTTTTAATATTAAATATAAATATTTTTATTATTTTTTTTTTTATTATTATATGATAAATGGTAATGATGATATAAATAATAAATATAAATAATAAATAATTATAATAATAATTCATTATATAACAATTTTTTAATTTTATTATAATGATATGATGATGATGATGGCTATGATATAATAATAAAGTAAAAGAATCAACCATCTTAAAATATTAAATTATAATTGTTAAATGATGATGATGAATTAATTATTATTATTGTTATTAAATTATTATTATCATCATCATCATTTTATAATAATCATTACCATTATACCATATATATAATATAATAATAATAATATTATATATATCTTAGATTGTAATCCAAGGATCAATCCTAACCCTATTGTATTGAACTGTATTGTCTCCCATTATATTGTAAAGTAAAAAAATGATCAAAAAATTTTGGCGCTATAAAAATCATGAATAATAATAATAAAAATAAATAATATAATAAAT